CACATCAAAGCCTTTATTGCCTCTGCGTTCTTCTCTGTGGTTTGATTGAACTTCATATTAATTGAACCAAGGCATAATGAATTTTCTGACGTTTTAAAACAGTAGATAAAGGCTGACTAAGCCAGTTCCCGTTGGACTTTCCATAATGAACACAGGGTCAAGGAAAAAGTACTTCTCTACTACTTAGGATGAACTTGACTCTCTCCCCCCTCACCTTGCCGGCCTCCGTGATGACTAATCTCAGTGTTGCAAGCATGTCACGCATCGTGTTCTTTTGCAAGGATGCACAGAAGTGCCCTCAGCAGATGTTAGTTTACCCAGAGCGGTAGGATCAGCATTGCTATAGTCTCCCATGGTCTCACTCTTGCAAAACCCAGCAGGGAACTTCCTTTGATATGAAGCCACTGAGATTTTCTTACTTAATCGGGGAGCAGCCTCTTCCTGGATCGGCCTGGCCGCACGGGCCTCAGAAGCACCTTGCCCAAACCACAGCGCCCCGCCTGGGGAGCGCCTGCGCCCAGAGGCCCAGCGCCAACCCTGGCCCTCACGTCTCACCTCACGGACCATCAGCGTGCATGAAAGGTGGCACTCAATAGAGGAGGCAGTGCAGACGATGTGAGTGGGAGCTGGAACGAGAGGCGGGGTCTCGGGCTGGGGCTCCGCTGGGAGACCTTGGTGCAGGCACACCCCATGGCCGCGGCCACTCCCCCCACCCCCCCACCCCGCGTCCAGAGGGGGCTGCGAATAACTGGCAGCGAGGTGAATTTGCAGACCCGACTCCCTGGAGGATGAGGACTGGCCGTGTCCACCTGGGCCTGGTGACCAGCGGCGGCTCAGCTCTGCACACACTGGTGGTGTCTCCTGCTGTTTCCCGGGACGCGAGGTGGGGCTCACCTGAGGGGTGGCTGAGGAGTCCCTGGACCACGGGGGGCCTCTGAGGCCCTCATGCGGTTCCCCTCCCTCGTGTGAAGGACAAGGACAGCTCCCTTGTGGCGCTAGGCGGGCTCCGTGGGTGGGCGGGGAGCTGGCTTTTAGGACGTGAGGGTCACAGGCTGGCCCTGAGGTTGTTTGTTATCACAGTTGTCACCCCCTTCCCCGTGTCACACGAGGCGCCCCATCTGGGTGGCTCCCTGGCTTCCCAGCTGGTTGTCCTGGCTGAGTCCAGTTAGGGGGCCACAGGCGGGCGAGCAGGGGAGAAGCAGGGCCGGCGGCCCCTCCTGTCTGTCACTGCGGTGGCTCTAACTGCACTGCCCTTCCCTCCCCGCCCTCTGTCCCTCTGTCCCTCCGTCCCTCTGTCCTTCCCTCACACTTGCATACTATAGCCCTCCCCGGCCCTTCTTAGCTCTTCCATTACCACGAAGAACCCCTCCTGCTCTGGCTTTACTGTCTCCTAAAGGCTTCGCGCGGTTGTTTTCCTGAGCGGGCCCGGCTGATGCCGGGGTTTTGTCACTTCCCTCGACGGAAAGGAATCAGGCAGAGCTCACACAGCCATCGAAGGCACAAGCAAAGTCATGCCCAGGTCTCAGCCCCCAAGCCCGAGCATCCTGCAGACCAGACCACGTTCAAATCCAAAGAAATAAAAAGTTGAAACCGGAGCCCATGGCATCCTTTAGTCCCAGGACGTCAGCGCCACGGGTGCCGGTTGCATCGCAGTGCGGCTGACCAAGTAAGATTAGAGACAGGTAGAAAGGAAGTTGTTTCAGGTCAGGCTTTGACATATATACATCCCTTCATATCCAGAAACCCGGCCCGGCGTAAGAACAATTCTAGCGGGTTTAGATGGTGAAAGCTCTCCAGCCAGGCACTGGTAGGGGCGCTCCCAAGTATAGTTCAGGGAATACACGGTCCCTCTAGAATCCTAACCACCGTGGTAAGAACGAGCCCATGATTGGCCATGTGAATCTGAAAGTAGGATTTCTTGAATACATCGTTTTCCACCATTCAATTATGTCTGGTTATTTTGATAAACAACTGCATTTTCAAAAGCAAGATCAATTAACCAGTAGGTACTCGCTCAAATCAAGCATTTTACAATTTTTGGCTTAAGGCTTGCCTGGGAAGCTATTTAAGTCCGAGTGCATGCAGCATATAAAATGACACCCCCTTGCCAAGCAGGGACCCTTTACAGGGGGCAGAGGAGTGGCTGTAAGACACTCAGCAATTTCATTCTCAAAGCTGGGCCCGAGTTTGAGCTGAACAGCTGGTACGGGAGCAGATTTATTTGTTTGTTTGTTTATTTATTTATACAAGAACCAGGGTACAGGCCAGATGCACAGGAGGGTGAGAGGATTCACCAGAAACAGAGCGGGGAGCAGAACAGGCAGACTGACGAAGTACACTGCTGAGGGAAGCAGCGGGTGTGGCAGGAGAGGTCTGCTGCTCCATGTGGGACCCTCACTGGCCAGCCGGGATTGAACTGGCACTGCAGAGGCTGCGGACAGCTTCACAGAGTGGTGCTCAACTGCCTGCGCCACCAGGGGAGGCCCCCAGGCTCCCCTCAAACCATAACTCCTGGCCCCTCATCCCAGGTGAGGTTGACACAGCCACCCCCTTTTGATTTCTTGTGTGCAGCTCCTGAGTTTAGAAGCAGCATTCCCACATCACACCAGTAGTATGACTTTTCCAGCAGAATGCCAATATCAGTCCCCCAGACTGATTTATTTGTAGCTGACAAGACACAAGAAGATTTTAAAACACTTGCTCTTTGGAAAAGAAAAGCTAAATAGCTCACAGCCCCACTGAGATCACCCTGGTGCAGGCGTCTGCATGAAACGAGATATCCTTGCCCATCACGGCGGCTCTTCACATGGTGCAATTTCCTAGAAGGGATTCCTGGTGCTCAGTCACAGCCAGTGGAAGACACGTTTCCTGCTAATCTCGAGACTCTTCTAGAAAGTGAGTTATGCCCTCCGGGGACCCATAAATAGAAGCAAGGCAGCTTTCACTCTCCAGGAACTCAGAGGTGCTGGTAGAACCTGAGGGCCACAACCATTACTTTTTAAGTTTTAAATTAAAAAATAAAGACATAGGAGTTGGGTCCAAGCCCACTTCACGGTACCTCACATAGCATTTCTTAGACGTGAGTTAGTCACATAAAAAAACTTCAAAATATTTATATTTTTAAAACTTCCCTTTAATTTTGCCTCCAAAAACTTATTTTTTTCCGTCCCCTTCACTGTCGTTATGATAAGCATCTGGTTACCTACCACACTGTAAATGACCGAACTGGGTCTTTCCCTGGTGCCCAGAAAGCCGAACTCTGAACCAGAATTGTCTCGGCATGGAGTTTGAGACAGCCGTCATGGGCACTGGAGGGATAAACACCCCCCAACATGGCTCCTCGCTGGGCTGTGCTGGGATTTTTTAAGGGGTGAAGGAAGGTGAGGGAGAGAAGAAATCTTGTCGTCTGTGGAAACGTGTTTCATGCTCATCCACTATTAAATTACAGTGTGAGATGAGTCAGTTACTTTCAAATTCATGAACGCAGGCGCCACACTTATCTTTCTTAAACAGTCCGTGTTCAGAAACATTCTCAGAATGTACTTGACCTTCCCCTTCCTGGCATGTAGATTATTGCACGCCTTCTCCGCAGACGCTGAGGAGTGTTCTCTACTCTAGTCATTCATGAGACTTTCTTTCCAGGCCTGTTCTGAGATGCTGGGGTCATGGCATCTGCGTATGAATTTCTGGGAAGCGGCCACACAGCAGGGCTGCAGCAGGCAGCCTGCCAGACTCACTCCCTTGCTCTCCAGACCTGGGGCCTGCGTCCACTGCCCCTGCTCTGCCTTCCTCGGCTTTTCGTGCCTCACCGGGTCAGACCCCTGCCTAGCCCCAGGCTGTGCTCGAGCCGGGCCCGTGGCAGGTTTCTGCAGCCGGTGTCCAGGAGGCAGGCCCGGTGTGCGTTCAAACAAGTAGATGAACCAAGTCAAACCAAAATGAACATCTGGACCATAAGACCAATTAGTGGTGACCGGCAAGGGGGGCGGTGTGAAGAGAGGCCGGGCCCGGGGTGATAAATGGGTGCCGGGCACACACTGAGCCTCAGTGGTGCACACCGTACACTCACGTGTTGCAATGCGATGTGGCTTCAATTAAAAAAAAAAAAAGGGAGTGGATGTGGCGGGCAGTGATTTTCCAGGTTGGTCTCCACATGCAGTTGAGCATGGCCCTGGCTTACGTTCCCAGGAGCTGCTGGGAACAAAGGGGTTGAACCCCAACACCATCCCTTCACGTGATGGGCCGCCCTGTCTGAGCTGGCTGGAGGGACAGGGGAGCGGGGCAGAGGTACGTGGGACAAAGGGGAGCAGGAACCTCGAGGCTGGCGGAGTCTCCGGCTCACCTCCTCTGTGTGTGTGTGTGTGTGTGTGTGTGTGTGTGCGCGTGTACTGCTCTGCACCTCTTGTGCAAAACCAAAGAGAAGACACATCCACTTCCCGCCTAAGAGAGGTCGCCCGGGCCTGGGGGGTCACTGGGCTTCCCTGTCCAGGCTGCGCAGCGTGACTTTGGAGAAAACACGTTCGGGTTTCACTCTTCCTAAAATGAAAATACCTCTTAAGGGGTTTCAGAGGGTGACATTTCTAATGCGGTGCTGTCAGTGCCTCTAAATCACCCCAGACTCCTGGCACCATCAGATCTTGCTATTTTCTTTTTTTTTTTTAAGATTTATTTACGCATATAAAAACTGGGGTACAGTCCAGAGGTGTGGGGGTGAGAAGATTCACCAGAGATGGAATGGGGAGCAGAACAGCTGGACTGATGAAATCCACTGCTGAGGGGAGCAGCGGGGAGACAGGAGAGGTCTGCTGCACCATGCCAGTCGGCTCCCTGGCTGAGGATCGAACTCAGGCTGCAGAGGCTGGTCAGCTTCATAGTGCTGTGCTTAACCCCTTGTGCCACCAGGGAGGCCCCTCTGTTTCAGCTTTGTTTGCTTCTTTTCTCCGACAAATCCAACATGAACAAAGCCTCTTGGAGGCGTGTGGGAATGACCTTGAGCTTCCCACCCCTGGTGGGGGGCTGGGCAGGGTCTCACAGCCTGCGCAGATTGCCTCACTCCTCCCGTGAAGTGCATGTTGCCCGGCTTTGCTGAGCCAGAGCGGTCCCCCTGGAGCCCACTGCCACGTCCCAGGACCGCCTGCCCTCGCACCGTCCACTCTGGCACCGTCTCACCCCGCGCCGGCTCATTGGTGGCCTCATTTGCCTGTTCTTGAAGACCAGGGGTGAGTCTTTCTTAATTTTCTGGCCTCGCGTCTGGTACAGACTTTTTTTTTAATTTATACAAGAGCTGGGGTACAGGCCAGAAGCGCAGGAGGGTGAGAGGATTCAGAGACAGGGCGGGGAGCAGAACAGGCAGACTGACTGAAATCCACTGCTGAGGGGAGCAGCGGGGAGACAGGAGAGGTCTGCCACGCCATGTGGGTTGCTCCGTGGCCAGCCAGGATCGAACCGGCGCTGCAGCGGCCGCGGACAGCTTCACAGCGCTGCGCTCACCCGCCTGAGCTGCCAGGGAGGCCCAGCACAGTCTCATACAGGACACAAGCTGCCACATTTAACTACGTGCTGAACACATGGAGGCGGGGTCAGTAACTACTGTGCATCAGATTTGATTTTTTAGGGGACTTGAAATTGAAGTGAACACTATCGAAAATGAATACCAAGGAGATGGATGTCTTTATAAGACTATCCCAGAAGACAGCGCCTTTGCAGGGTAAATACTTGTCAATGTGGGGCCTTTGGGGAGCTGAAGTCCCCCAGAGCGGGTGGCCATGGCCCTCTAGTGGCCACAGGGGGTGACAGCACCGTGGCAGCCTCTCAAGATGGCCGCCCAGCTTGGAGCCGGCATGGAGGGCCCACGACAAGCAGCACCAGAGCCACCAAGGCTAACATTCTTTCCTAAGAATCCTTAATAAGGTTCCTCTGTTGACCAAATAAGCAAACGCCGGAAGCTCCAGGAGCTGGGAAATGAAACAAGAGCTTCCTCTTGAGGCGAGATGACGTGAAGTCTTGGGGCCTCTCCGGGTGAGTCAGCAGTGAAACACGGAGCTGCCGTCTGTGTGGGGGCGCCTCCTGCAACCCTCCTCAGCCGAGGCGACGATGTTGTCATTGGGCCGGAGGGACCCCCGTGGTGAGCGGGGGTGCTGCCGGCAGTCCTAGCTGAGCAGAGGCGAGCTGAGCAGGGTGGGCTTGGAGTCACCCCTCTCACAACAGGGAGCACGCACACCACCCCTTTATTAAAGCCAAGGTGCTGGGGGAGCGTCTTCCTGCTCAGGGGCTCGGTGGGGCGATGGCATGAACGTGCTGTCGGCACTTCCCCAGGGAGACAGCACCCCTGTAGGGGACAGAGGGGGGCATTTATATCCTATTCAGAGGAGTAAAGGGCTGGTCTGCTGGCCCGAAACTGCGCTGCCGGTTCAAGTTCTTCATCTCAGGGGCGTAGCGGCAGACACCGGCCCCCCAGGGACAGGGCTCCGCGCACCGGCTCCCGCGCCAGCCTCCCGCCGCCGTCCGTCCCCGGCGAGCGCTGAGGGCAGGTAAGGCTCCTCAAGTGAGTCAGGACAGACAGCACAGCGGGCTCTAAATATTTTATACTTTCCAGGGTCCTTCTCTTTCAGAACAGCTGGGACACACGCCAGCATCTGGGAAGGGCTTGTCCGAAGAACGCGCCGCTTGGGCAGCGTTTATCGTGGTGACGGACCCGAGGGACGAGCTTGGGAACACGTGCGGCCGAGTCCAAGGTGCCGCGGCTTCCCTTCGCGGGGCTGGGCTCACTTCCCCAGGAGCAGGACTTTGAACGTCCCTGGATGACTACTGAAAATTTGTTTGGGAAAGATCTAACTCCCATGGAAGTTGTGAGGGTGGCGGTCCAGAGGGGCCTTCTACCCCACCCCCCGAGTGAGCTGCTGACATGGCGTCTCAAGACTTCAAATCCTTTATTGCGTTTTCCCACAACAGGGACAGTCTCCCAGTTTTAGGGGCTACATTGTGCCCCCCCAAAACTGATGTGTTGAAGTCCTAGCCCTCAGGAGCTCGCATGTGACCGCACCTGGAGATGGGGCCCTGGAAGAAGCAGTGAAGGGAGAATGGGGTCACAGGGTGCGCTCTAGTCCAGGATGGCTGGAGGGGGGCAGGGCGCAGCCACCCAGAGGGGAGAGTCCCAGGGAGAGGCCTGCCCCCCGCAGCCTGGCCCAGACGGCGAAGGAGCCAGCCCTGCAGACACCTTGACCTCGGCTTCTGGCCTCTGGGACTCTGAGGAGACGAGTCTCTGCTCTTTAGCCCCTTAGTCTGTGTCCACCACCAGAGAGAGAGGTGGTGTTCAATTCCCAAGGTGGACAAAGGCCCGGATCAGGCTTTTTGAACTCAAGCCATCAAGAAATTCAGGGCGCCTCAACCTCGAGGGTGGACGACATGGCTGGGATCGTGCTCAGCCACCCCTCCCCTTCCTGGATGGCAACCTCTTCTCCAACGCACCTCTTCTTTCGCCTGCTCCCAAATTTCATCTTCACTGACCCAACAAATATGAGACGCATTTGAAATTAACATACAAGTCCTTTCCTTAGCCTGTTAACCACTCCAGGGAGTGGGGATCACATGGTCTGGTCAGAGGACACAGACACCCCGCCGCCGGCCGCTTGTGGGTTCCACCCGGACCATTTCATTCCCCAGCTGTGGCTGCTGCCCTGGCAGGTCCTCACAGCTGCTCCCTGTCCAGTCTCCTACACCCCTCCCCTGCTGCATGCTCCGTGTGGAACCTCCCCCCACTCACACCACCCCCTTTCCGGGCCTGGAGCCACTCCCCTTGGAGCTGAGACGATTCCCCACGCCTCCCTGTTATTCCCGACAGCCCTGGGATGCTTAGTCATTTTTACCCCCTAAATATTTCTCAGTGCATCGATGCCTCTGGACCTTTGCACATGCTCCTCCCCTGGCTGAGAACACCCGCTCACCAGGTCACGCCTCCTGGAGTTGAACCTTCCTATGGGTAGCCTTGAGGACAGAGCCCTGGGCTGAGATTTCTTGTTACGGAAACCAGCGTGGCCTGACGTCCTGCATAGCCCCAGTGACTATCTGCTGGCTGACGAAATCCCACAGATGGAGCACATCAGCGCCACGCTGAGTACGCTAAGTAGCAGTCTATTAACTATAAATAACTAAGTGGAACTCCAAAAGCTGGGTGCGGGGAACTGTTTGGACGAAGTGGGATCATCAAATGCTCACTAGCGCCAATCAAGAGCAGCGCCCGGAGCGGGCGGGGGCTGGGAGCGGGCACCCCACGCTTCCTGCATCCTGCACGGTCACTGGCTGGGGCTGAACAACACAGGTTTTGGGAGAAAACATTTCTGAGTTTGTGTGGATGAGACGGGCACGCGGCTGTGGTCAGATGTGTCCCCAGGATCTTGGACAGAGGAGGAAACGCGCCGTGAGCCCGAGGACAGAGGTGCTGGAGTCGGAATCAGAGACGCCCACGCTCACTAGGGCAGCACTTCCAAAAAAAGGGCAAATTGAACACGTAGGACCTGGTGATGAGAAGGAAAACAGGCTTCTAAAGACCTGCCCACGGCACCATCCGTGGCTACACAGAAGACCCTTACGAGCACAGATTTCTCCTCTCAAAAAACAGTTTTACTTCTGATTGTAAGAGTAACCTCAAAAGCGCTTATCTTGCGGGCCCGGGGACGTGGAAGGAGACGCTGGTCCTGAGCCTTGCAGCAGCCGGGGGGCGGCGCAGGGCCAGTGCCTGTGCAGCGGGCTTGAGTGGGTCCCAAGAAGCGCGCGCGCGCGGCCCTCCCCAGCCAGACGTCTCGGGCGTGGCCACATGGACACCGGCCACGCCACAGGAAGGGCAGGAAGACACGGCGGGGGGCAGCCCAGTAAGTCACCCAGCCTCTGCGCTGCCCAGCCCGAGGGAGACCGGGCTGTGAAAAGACGTAACACAAGCAGCTCAGCTAACCACGGGCGGCTCAGACTGCTCTTCCTTGGTTTCAATTTTGTTTCATAGACTTTAATCAGTTACACATTATTCTAAAAGCATAAAATACTGAACTCTATCCTCTGAATTTACACGGTGTCAATTTTTAGTAACGCGGCTTCTCACCAGGGAAGATGTCAGCAGAACACGGTCTGTGACCGATGATGACTTCACGACGCGGGCTCTGCTTATAATAAAATGCGCTCTAGTTCACGACTGTTCACACCACAGCAGAAATCTCTACCCGCCTCCGTCTAAACACACCACGACCCGGGCCCAGTCTCTGTGACTGGCAGTGACGTCAGAGCCGGCCAGTCCCCGGCGTCCATGCTCTTCGAGCTGGTGCGTCACCGCTCAGGACCGGTTATCTTCGATGACAATCGTTCTTCCAGGGTAGGCGTCAACTTCTACAAATATGTAGCGAAACTCATATTCACCACTCTCTGGGTTCTGGGGAAAAACCGCGTTTCAAGGAGTGAGCCCCGTGCAGAGCTGAGGGGCCCGGCCGCGCCCTGCGCCTGCCCGCGCCCACCCGCGCCCACACCTCCTTCACTTCCAGGTGCACCGTCCCCTGCCGCCCCGGCTCGGAGCCCTGGATGTAGAACTTGATGCGCATGTGCTTCAGCCCATCCTTCGAATATTCCACGAAGCTGTGGGGAAGATGGAGGCCGTGGGACTGAGCTCCTCTCCCCTCCGCTGCCCCCACGCTGCCCCCGTGCGGTACCTGACGTGCTGCCTGCGCCCACGCCGCGTCGTCTCCCCGAAGCCTTTAACCGGCTCCCCGAAGACACTGATGACCTGGGGGGAGTGGTGGATGAGGTTGTCAGCCAGTTGTTTACTGCTAAGGAGAGCGTTTCTGACAGACCCCATGATTTTTTTTAGAAACCCCCCAAATTTGTAAATGGGACCCTTTCAAAATGACAATGAGAAATCTGGAAAGAAAAGTTATTATGCAGCGATCACCCCACAAATCACACTCCATGCAGAGACTGAAGCAGGTGAGCCTGAGGCTCCCGCACCAGAGCGTGAGGGCAGCTCAGGCTGAGGCGATGCCGTTCCCACTGCCCTTGCAGACAACACATGCCACGCAACACGTGTGCAGGGCCTCTGGGACATCAATGCACCAGGGTATAGTGGGAGATCTACAAGACCAATGTGACTGTCCAGGTCACCCCACACTGTGAAAGGAAAACAAGAGTGACCTATGAAGACGTCAGGCCAGGGGGTGGCGCGCCTGGCTCCAGGTGGAAAATGCACCAGGAAGTGAAAACGTTTTTATGGAATTTAAATCGCAAATAACTTGAAAAGGTTAAAAAAAAAAAAACAAAACACACACAGATTTGTTATCAGATGAAAATACTGCCTAGATTCTCAAAAATTTACTGTCTCTGATGAACATCGGCGTCATATTTTTCAGGTATGCATGCTAAGGAGTCCATCATGGAAGATGAGAATTACTCAGGGCTGTACAGCCGACGCAGAACAGTCGTTCAAATAATGGCCTGGAATCAACACTCGGGCATCAACCCCAGAGCCCCCCGTTTCTCAAGCAGACCCACCACAAATGCTGACGAGATGCTGTCAGTCAACGGTTCACAGGCCACAAATGCCTAGCCTCTCACTAACATGCCACCTTTACTTATTCTGTGTAATTTTGTCCCAAACGCTGAGATGCATGCACGGCTGCTTGTGAGTCACACAGCAGCGCTGCCCCGCGGGCCTGTGATGACGCTGTGCGCGTCCCGTCGCCTGCACGGTGCTTCTTGCCAGTCTAATCTGGGCCCCGACTATGAAAGCCCCTCTCTCCCCCCACCTTTTATTTTCAGCGCACCCAGGAAGTGCGCCCTTGCTACCTCCTCCACGTCTTCAGACTAGCCAGCATGGAGTTAAGAGAATCCATAGCTTTGAAGAGGAGGTGCCGAGAGTACCAGCCTCAAGTTCCTCCCTGACGGGACTACAGAAGCGACGGCATCTGAGGGCGGTGCCCCGGGAGTCTCGAGTTCTGATGCTACCTGCTGTTTTCTTTCAAGGTACCAGAACTGAGACTTCAATGACTGATATTTTTCAAAGTGGAGGCTTTCTATCCAGAGAGCAGGAAATCGGGGGATTCACAGGCTGCGCCGGCTTCTCTGACTGGAAAACATTACACAAAAGCCGTCCTCCCGGACCAGAGCCTCTGGAGAGCCGAGGTCTGTCTCCCCATCGACCCCAGCCCGGGGCCCGGCTTCCAGATGACCATGTTTGGGCTCCGGCTCTCCTGCTGTCACCTCAGCTGAGCGAGCTCATCTCGAGTCAGCCTCCTCTCTGCAATGCGCATCCGCAGCCGCCACAACCAGGCTGTGTGCGAGGCCGGCGGCCGATCCCAGCGCGCCATCCGTGACAACTAGCATCGACTTTCTCTTGTCCAGGTAGGGAGGAGACCCCCTACAGGCCTCTGCCTACTTAAAGCATTTCAAACACAGAGCTGACGTGACCAACTGACCCTATCACATACGTGTCCACGTCGGCCCTGCGGGCAGGGAACCACCCCACCCCAGCCCAGCCCGTCTGTGAGACTCTCCCTGAGGACTAACCTCGGGGTGGGACCGGCATATGTCCAAGGCTTTCCCATATATCTTGTTAGGGCTGGATGAAGAAAAAAGTTCTTTGAAAATAGTGTAAAACAAGCCACCTGAAAATCACAAAAAAAAAAAAGTGAAGCCAGGAGAGACGGAGACCAGCGGCACTCGGGAGAGCTGTGCGGGGCGTTATACTTGCTGCGTTTTCAACCTGTAATGCTGACTCCAATAAGCACCACTACCAGGTAGGTGAGGTCGCGCCCGGCTTCCTTCACTGTGGAGAGAAAACACCAAGTCACCGTGAGCGGCACGGGCAGGCGGCAGCTGCCTGGGGAGGCAGGCGCGGGCCCTCGGGGGCTGTGGCGTGGAGCAGCTTGCTCAGATCCCCCCGTGAGCCAGAGGAACTTCACCAGAATTCAGGGCCTAGACCCAGGTTTCTATTTTCGTCATTTCAACACCTCCTTACTTTCTAAGATGAGGACATTCTTTTCAGTCCCCAGCTCCTCAGAGCGGATGAAAACCACCGTCACAGACCAGGCGATGCCGGGCAGTTCACTGTTCACAGATCAGAGCGTGTTTTGTCACGGGCAGTCGAGGGGGTCAAAAATGGCCTCAACTCGGCTTTCTACTCCTAGGGTCACTTTCGCTAGCGTCCTGCCACCCCCACGGGCCGGGCACAGAGGAAAGCAGGGCTGACGCAGACCAGCGTTTGTTCAGACTTGTGAGCTGAACAGATTTAGAAAATAAAGAGCCTGCAGGGGTGCTTGTCTCTTTCGACACGAATGAAAGAGGAGCCTGTGGATTACACCCAAGTCCCGGGCGCAACAGCCATTCAGCTGCGGCATCGCCACGGGACAGAGTCTGCGTGCACAGCGACGTGGGCACTTGCCCGGCCACTGGCACTGCCAGCCGCTCGCCGCCGTGGCACGTTCTCCCTGATGCTGGAGAGTGACTCACCTCCTGGCGTCTTTATAGCTCAGTGTAGTCACCGTATTTGAATGATTTCCAGAATAGGCATTTCTTACACTTTTTTTTTCAGAAAAACAACAAAATGTTAACGGAGGTTGTTACTATTTCCTCCACTCTTTTTTTTTTTTTTTTTACAACAAACTTCTATCACTTTTATAAATTAACACTTATTTAAAAGTGCTCTTCAGCACAGCATAATTCCTCAAGCTTTCCACACTGGTTTCTGCATAAAGAGATGATTCAAATAAACACTTTCTCTGCCCTAACCGTGTCACTCATGGGCTTGATCCAACAAGCTCTGCCACAGGTCCCTCCTCTTAGCGAGGCTGGGTAGAACCCCACAGTCAGCCTTCGCTCCTGTTCCCTGCGGTCATGGGACAAACTTAACATGCCACTGAGCGCCAGGTCCTAAGCTGAGGACACACCACTGGCCACCCACTGGCCACCCAACATGCTGCCATGTCATACTGCCACTCATGTCAAGGCTTTGGCCCCACTGCTGGCTCCAGGAGCGCCTGGGCACGCCCATATTCCTGCGCCACACAGGCCAGGAGGCCGCCTTCTCTGTTCACTCGCACCTACTGTGTAATTACTGTGTGCGAAGGCCTGGCCCCATCCACAGCCCACACACCTTTGTGTTTCTTTCTAAAGATTTATAGATTTATTTAATTATTTATTTATACAAGCACTGGGCACAGTCAGAAGCACAGGAGAGTGAGAGAATTCACCAGAGCCAGAGCAGGGAGCAGAATAGGCAGAAGGACAGAAGTACACTGCTGAGAGGAGCAGCGGGCGGCAGAAGTCTGCGCGCCACACGGGACCCTCGCCCAGCGGCCTGGGATCGAACCTGCGCTGCAGAGGCTGCAGGCAGCCTCGTAGCCCAGCGCTCAACCGCTGCGCCACCGCTGCACCACCGGGGAGGCCCTTTAGTGTTTCTTTTTAATGGTACTCTACGTGGTCTTCACCAGAGGCTGCCTGTTGTCCTTTTTTGTTGTTGCTATTAAAACTGTTAAGTATGTGCACTAAAATGACATGAATCAAAATACTAACAAATCATGTTTGCACGGTATTAATAGGGTGTCGGAAATGCTCTGCTTTATCTTTTTTTATAACTCACTTGGGAAATAAACAATAAAAAATGAAAATGCCTTATCTCATCTGTGGAAGCAAAGTCTCTTTTCACTTTTCCTACTGTCCATTCTGCTACTGTACCTGTCATCTGAAGGTAAGCAACTGTCTGGAATATCTTTCATCCCACAGTACATAGAGTCCAACTCGGTATCTGGGCATAAGAGTGCGACACTCAAGAAAAGTGTTTGTTGACTGAACTATGGACTACAATCCATAACTTCTCTTCTCTTTATTTCTTAGTCTACCCAATTACTCTTGATTATATGCTAACTTCTTGTTTTGTAAAGCACAATCTTTTTTTTTTTAATATTTTTTATTTATACAAGAACTGGGGTACAGGCCAGATGCGTGGGAGGGTGAGGATTCACCAGAGACAGAGTGGGGAGCAGAACAGGCAGATTGACTGAAATACACTGCTGAGGGGAGCAGCAGGTGAGACAGGAGAGGTCTGCTTGCCATGTGGGTTGCTCCGAGGCGGTTGGGGATCGAATGGGCACCTTTGGTGCTGGGCTCAACTGCCTGTGCCACCAGGGAGGCCCAATCTTTTCTTTTTGTTTCACACTGTTTTCCTCCTATTTGTGTGATAAGGTGTTTATGTATTTACACACAGGATTTCTTTGACACACGCATTAGCATCCATTCAAGTGCTAAACAGAGAATATGGAAGCTGGAGAACTATTTGTGAATGGCTGTCCTAAAGGAAAATGTGCATTTGCCAGTTGTGTGAAATCGGGGAGTGCACTTCATACACAAAAGGGTCCTCATCTATGTCTGGAAGAGTGAGCATGAGACTTAAGTGAGACGAAATAACATCTGGGAACTCTACTTGTATATTATAAAGTCTTAAAAGGTAATGTTTTATAGAGGGTTCTCCACAACAGAACTGATCAAAATTAATTTTCAAGTGTGAGTTCAAATTTGTGAAGGAAACTGCAGGTCCGCATTCGGATTCTAAACTGGGTTTCCTGGCTCTACCTTCCCCCTTGCGTGAACTGCGCCCCGCGCTCTGCACAGCGCTCGAGCAAAAGGGCCCTGGCAGCTCCCGCCAGGCCTGGGAGACTGACGCTGCCGGAGACTCAGTCCTTTTACCTTTCTGCGAGGTCGAGACGGTGGTTTCCTGGCTCTGACCTCTGTGCACCGACACGTGCTTGCTGCCGTCCTCCTCTGCGCTCCGCGCGCTCTGCCTCTGCGTCCAGAAGGTTTTCTGGGGGACCGCGAGGACACGCCTGGGGCGCAACGTTTTCTTCTGCTCTCGCGGCGCCCAGGCCCACGAGGGCGCAGTCTCCCAGGGAGCTCTCAGCCCCAGGGGCGATGAAAACCACCGCTTCCCCGAGGACCTGTGCAGCCTCTCCGTGGAGCGCACGAGCCTCAGGAAAGTGCACATCATGTCCGCGGAGCCGGCCCGCCGCGCGAGGCCCCGACCGCGACGGCCACCGCCTCCCTGCCCGGGGCCGGGCGCTCACGCCCGCGCGCGCATTCACGCCTCACGCGGGGACAGCGAGCCGGGCAGATGCCGGCCTCGGCGGCGCGAATTATGACGAGAGGCACCGGAGAGCCGCCGCCGCCCGCCCGCTCGTGTCCTCGGCGCTTCGTGCTTGAGCTAAAACGCTTTGATTGCCCGCGATGCGAACATTGACCAAACTCTGCCCGCCATGTCTTCGCAAAGTAACCTGGGCAGCCCCTAGGAATCCTGGGAGCGGTAGTTTAACGCCCTCACTCCCAACAGAGTGGCCGCGGCGGGAAAGTCATGAGAGACTACATCTCCCACAGTGCACAGCGGCCGCGACGCCTGTGCCGCCTCCCAGACTCCCCCGCGAGAGTCGCCCGCGCAGGCGCCGCACGCACCGGCGCGGAAGGGCGGGGCCGCGGCGCGGGGAGGGGCGTCCGGGTGGCTCAAGCCGGAACTTGCAGACTTCCCGTCAGCAGCTGGCCGAGGGGTGCGGCCTTGCAAGCCCCGGCCAGGCCCCTGTGAACTGGGGGTTCCCGATCAGACGGCGGCCCAGCGTGCCTCCAGGGAGAGGCCGTGGCTTCCCTTCCCGAGGAAACCGGGCGGGAGTTCCGCGGGCCACTAGGGCCTCCAAGCGGAGCGGGACGAGGCCGCCACCCCGCAGACGCCTGCGTTACAAACTCCGATTGACCGACGGGCCTGGGCTTCAAGACAAGCCGAGCCCCGGAAGCTTCTAGAACAGCTGCGGGACACCCTGGAAAAGCGGCGCGGGCCGCGGGCGCGCCCGCCCCTCGCTCCTGCGCACGCGCGGCGACGCCATGGGGGGCGTGGCGTGAGCGGAGCCCCGCCCCCTCGCTGCGCGCCGCAGTGCCCGCGGGTTTCCATGGCGACCGGTCGCGGCCGGCTCCTGCAGCAGCAATGGCGCGGCCTGCTGGCCCAGCACCTGCCGCGCGGCGGCCTCGGCGCGGCGCGGGGGCGCGCGGGGCAGGGCGCCGGGCCCAGGTGACTGTCGGGCCGCGGGTCGGGAGCCCCGCGAGGGAAGCCCCTACTCCCCCAGTCGCCCTTTCCCTTGTCCCCCCCGGGGGCGCCCCTCCCGCGCACACTGTCAGAGGGGAGGCCAGCCCGGCGGGGGGGCGACCCCAGTCGTGACACCCCTAGCGGCCCCCAGGGAAACTCGCTCCCGCCTTTCCCGCACTTGTAGGCCTGGGCACCGCCCCACCTGAGAGGACAGGTGCGAACCCGCTGCCACCCTGGAGTAGCCTGAGGGGCCCCCCATCCCCAGGAGCGCTGCCCCAGAGGTGCTTGCTTTGGGGCTAGGGCGAGCTTTCTCCGACAGTGTAACTCAGGTTTTCTTTTTTAAAAAGATTTATTTATGCACAGAAGAAATGGGGTGCAGGCTGGAGGTGAGGGGGTGTGAGAGGATTCACCAGTATAACTCGGGTTTTCTCTCTGACCCACGAGCACGTTTCTGTTACGACTGTTCTTAGAACTTCCCCCACCTGCTTTACGGAAAGGGAGGCCGCAGCTCCCCTTCTCAGGCCCCTCTGCAGGCCGGAGGGTGCCTTCTAGACTGCCTGCTGCTCCCCCCACCCGCCTGGCCTTTACCTCCTGGTGCCTTCCTTCCAGGTCCTGGGGTCTGCGCCACTCCTGTGTGTCTCCACAGGTCTCAGGGTCCCCTCAAGTGCAGGCTGGTCCTCCTAAGTGTGCGAAGGCAGCTCTGCTGGGTGAGAGGGTCAGGGGGAGAGGCTGCGGCAGATTTCCACAAGCATCTTCGCTTCCCTCTGAAGATTTAGGGTCTCTTCCCAGACTGAGCCATCCATCTGGGGAGGATCAGCTGCTCTCACCGTCCAGCATGGGGTGACAAGCTGTGTCTGCTCTGGGCCCAACTTTGCAGCTGGTTTGCCAGGTGGAGGGATGATGCTAGGGACAGTTTGCATTCTTGAGGGTATTTTTTGCTTGTAAGTTTCCATGTACAAAGTCAAACATACTGGACCTAGTAAGCTAAATGACTACGTTTAAGCATAAAAAAGGATTTTGCTACCAGATCAACTACTTAGGTTGTTTTTGTTTCCCCAAGTTCCCAGGACTGTGTGCTGTGTTCCACTTGGGGGCCATAACCCCACTCACCCTGGTTGCAAAGCAGAACACTGTCCCTTAGTGTGTGGTGGTGATAGTTTTTGTTTTTTTTTTTTTAAACAAAATCCCTTTTTAAAATTGAGCTGTTGACAACGTAACATCGTTTTAGGTGTGCAATATAATTTGATATTTATATTGCAAAGTGATCGCCACAATAAGGCTAATTAACGTGTCTGTGGTAATAGTTCTTCAGTGAATAGCTGTGAAGGTAGACACCAGCCTTGTGACGAGTGAAATGGTGACAATGTCTGCAAGTTCTGTCATGTAGGAGAGAGAGACTGGAATTGAAACAGGAAGCTTGAACTTTAAGTCAGTTTGTGACTTTTCCTAAAGTTAGCGTTATTTACAGGGCTCTGTTTAGTGAGGAGAATGATTTCTAGGAGGGATCCTTTGAGAGTTGAGTGAACTACCTGGTGAGACCGTGTATGGGGTGCCTGGCATTAAGCCTGGCTTGGGAGTTTGCCCTGGGACCTGAGGTTTGGTGACTCTACACTTACTTTTGGGTAAAGAAAAATGAGCTGCTGAGAATGATGGATGATGGTGGAAGTAGGTGGTTCTTTTTAATGTCTCAATGCAGAACCAATAGACTTGCATAAGGAATTAGTGGTTCCCTTTTTACACCATGTGAATATCATATTAACTAAATATTGTAAACTAAAATATATAGCAGGAACCAATCATGTTGGCTAAATTTCTACTTGGTTTAATTTTGTTGGTTTACCAGATACTAAAATCAGATCTAGAAGGTAGATGTTTTAGTTGGCAAACCTATTCAAAGCTGTCAGGCCAAACCTGTCGCTTGAAAGAACGGTGTTTTTAAACTAAACGTCCTCTTACTACTTGCACCAGCTAAAAGTGCTCTCTACAGACGTAGCGATATGTCCATGTGAGGAGACGCTTGGAACTCATTTGTTCACTGAGTGACCCTCAAAACTATGCAGCTGGTTTGTTTTATAATAGATACTTAGAAGTCGCTCTGGACTCACCGGTGGGGGGGCTGCGGGGGACAGGTGGTCTGGCCTGGGAGGGTACGGGACCCCGGGTTCTGGCGCGGAACCTTCGCCAGGTCATTTTCCTTGCCTTATCTATGTCTATGAAGTGAGGGGCTCATGAAGTAGATTTTTATGGTGGAAGGAAAAACGACGAATAGGCTGTACTTTTTAAATGGGTAGGTGCCTGTGGGCAGGGGATGCCGGGCCTCTTCCCCACAAATGAAATCAGTGCAGAGGCTTTGCGAGAAAAGTTAATAATTTAACTAGTAAGTAATATAATACATTTTTGTAATAAGGTAAATTTTCTGGTAGAAAGCAACAGTTGCATTAATTTTTAAGATCAAATAAGAGACTTCAAAGAGGTTTAAAGTTTTCTTTAGGCTGTGCCCCCAGATTTTGGGGGATCTGGTCCCCAGAATGCTGTGAAAGCCTTGGAGGACACTTGCCCGAGCCTAAAGGGTTGTGCTGTGAACTGTGATTCCAAATCTTCTAGGGCAGGGGATTCTCAGTTTTGAAATTAAGCCAACCCCCCCCCCCCATTTGTTACATATTCAGCATATTAAATGTTAGGAAATGGATGGAACACTTTCCTCTCAGTCCTTTAATTCTCAGTTAAAACCCCCCAAAACCTTGTAACTCATGAGTCAGATGATCATGAGGCAATACCTTATCTTTTCTTGCAGACCTGATACGTGTTTACTTTTCTCTTAAGAGAGAAGCACAAATAAGACGATGTGGCATAGCCCGCTGTCAGCTGCTTCCCCACTGAGGTGTGTTGGTTTAGCAGGTGTTTGTTGCCTGCTTCCTCCTGCTAGGCGCTGCGGGGCTGGAGCCAGCGGTGAAGGGAACGCCTGCATGAGGCCTGCCCGGGCTGCCTTGGCAGTGAGCGTGGCCCAGGCGGGAGCAGTGAGGGTGGCTGGATGGGGCCTGTGCTGAGGAGGCGGGTTGGGGAGTGTGTGCAGAGTTCGGGAGAGCAGGGTAGGGAATGACGCGTGGCATCTGAGGGAGTGCTTCAGGGGCCGAGCGAGCCTGCAGACACCCGGAGCTTCCTGTGTTGGAACTGCGCGGTTCAGTCAGCTGAGCACTGTCAGCCCCAGGCAGGGCCTGCCTCGCAGCAAGGCCTGGGGGGCTCCTAGTGTGTCCCTGGCAGACAACTTTGAAGACTGAGGGCACATCATCTCGCTGTGGGTTATTCTTCTAGAAGTGAAGTTCCTGTGCCCTGCAAGTAAGGGTCGTGATGTAAACCCCCGGGCCTGGCTTGGCCGTCTCTCAGGCCTGCTGCTGCTAGGTTACAGCTGTGGGTGCCTCCCGTCCGCTTGCTCTTTAATGGTCTTGGAAAGGCCTAGGTGATAGTTTTCATTTTTGTTTTTAACATCTGTGTCAGCTGACATGCCTGCTTCCCAGGGGAGACCTCTACCCAGGGAGGGGAAGCGCCTTGCCCACCCGCTCGGAGGCAGGCCCTCTGGGTGACCACAGTGCTTCTGGCCTGGCTGAGGTGTGCCCGCTGCCCAGGCCTCCCGAGAGCAGGGGTGCAGGGCAAGCCAGGCCCCCTTTGCTCAAACCTTGAGGATTTCCCTCTTTACCTTCCAGAGAGCTCATTGCACTTTTAAGTTCTGGGGATCCCCTCAGCTCTCCCCCCTTCCTCTCCCCCCTTATGGCCCACGCGTGTTTTGAGTGTGAGTGCACATTTAGCCACGGAATCAGCTCGGTAGGAAAACCAAGTGGCTACTCTGAGAACAAGATACTTGAGTCGTGGCTTGCATGGACTGAGCACGTGGAGGATATCCCAGCCAACCCCAGGTCGTAACTGCTGCTTGGGTAGCCTGCTGGGTGGAGACATGCTTAGCAAAGCAGCTGCTTCCAGACCTTTCCAGGGGTTGTGGCACGTCCTCCCTGGGGCTGTCTTTGAATCGCAGGAGGCTGGGTGCTGTGGCTCCCTGGGGATTTCAGGTCCCTGTAAAGCTGCTGCTGAGGACGACAGGTTTGAGGACTGATTTTAATAAAATGTTAGGAATCCCCGAGTGGATCTGGCTGCATGAAAGATATGCCCAGTTGTGCCGGATCTTCAAAGCCCTCCACTGCAACGTTCACCGTTATTTTATGTAGCACTAAAAGAAAAGACGGCCAGCTCAGATCCGGTCTCCTGAGGGTGAGATGGGAAGTTGAGAAGGGCAGGGCAGTCTGACAGCAAAGCCCCCTGCTCAGGTGTGCGCCCCCCGGTTTACAAACACTGTCTTGCTGCTTCATTGGGTTTCTGTCGTGAAGCTGGTCAAGCAGTGACGTCATCTCTTCCCTCTTTCCGCTAAGCGCATCTCACAAGCGCCTCTGACATGCCGGCTGCGTGCAGCGAGGCATTAAACCTTAGGTTTCGAACACCCGAGAGCCAGTCCAGCTTTCAGGCGTGCTTATGCACGACCCCAGGGCTCCCCGCCACCTGCTCCTGCCTCCCTCCTCTCAGCCTTCTCCTGCTCTCTCTGCAGAGATGGGGGTTCGCAGTGAGTAATCTTTGGCGTTCATGAATCCTTGAAAATTGTGGAGCAGGGAAGGGACATTCACTCTGGTTTGAATTTTCCCCGTTTCCTTTCAGAAAGGAGCCAGGTGTCAGACTCGCTGCGGGCTGTGCACCCCAGAAGCAGCAGGCCAGAGGCCAGACTCCTTCCCGGAACGCCGGCTCCGTGCCTCTGGACAGGTAGGTAGCAGGAGTCTGCCACTCGGGGCTGGGGGTGCTGGGGATGGAGTTATTCGAGTAAGTTGCCGTGCTGTCGATACCGGGCTGCTATTTTGAGCTCTCCAAGAATAGCGCCGTGTAGGCAGGAGGCACAGCACGCAGCACTGATGTGAGTCACCAGCCTGTCACCACTGTCATTATCAGACCAGTTTTATGAAGCTAAACTTCTGAAAGTGACAAGTAAATTCAATTTTCTTTTTTAAAAAGTGTTCTTCAAAATTGTTCACTTTCCAGATGATAAGGCCCCTTGTAAAAGGAGGACGGAAGGAAAGTGTGTTCTTTCAATAGCTGCCTCTGTGTGGCAGCATCGGGGGTCCTGGCACTGGGGTCTGTTTTGCCAGGACAAGACTCGTGTTGGGATCTGGGCAACAGGCTCCGTGCGGGCTTTTCCCCTAAGCTATTATTTGAAATCGGTGCTGACGTGCACGTGGATTTGAATGGCTCTGACATTTATGGAGCACCTGTGGCACGCTGCGCCTCAGGGGGGCCCCCCCAAGCTTGGCGCCACTCGCCGTGAGGCTCACACAATCACAACGCCAGCGCCAAACATCGGTGCCCGATTTCAAGCGTTGGTCTTACTGCCGCGCAGCCGGCCGTGGGCAGCGTGCTGGTGTTTTTAGACAGTGGAAAGCCAACAACGAAAGGTTTCATTAAGGCCGTCAAGTTAAGCCTCAGACCCCGCACCCTGGGGACAGACTCGGCCCTACGAGATGAATGCGTGGAAGGGCAGATTTGCAGTTGATGCAGCGTCACTTGCGGCCCAGCCCTAGGGGGCCTGAGCCCCTGCGCCAGGCTAATTCTGGCAGGCTCGGCAAAGTGAAAGAGGGACTGTAAGTTGGGGTGCATGCCGCCAGGAAGACGGGAGTGTGTGCTGCAGAGGCTGGGGGAGGGTGCTAAGGCCAGCGGCTCTGAGGAGGGCATTAAAGTAAGAACTGAGAACCGATTGAAGGGCTTGGAGAAGGCACCTCAGAGGGGCACTGGGGGAAGAGGCGCAGAGCTTGCCGGGCTGAGGGCAGGGCTGGGCAGTGGGTGGGCAGGGGCAGGCACAGAGCTTGCTGGGCTGAGGGCAGGGCTGGGCAGTGGGTGGGCAGGGGCAGGGGCCCTGGGGAGGAGCTCAGGCTTCATCACGTGACCTGAAAGCGCAGGTGAGACTGAGCTGTCATTTGGTTTCTAGAAGTGCCTTGTTCACTTGTTTGGTTTCTCTCTAGAAGGAAGGGGAATGGGGCACGCGCACGTCTGAAAGGTGGGCTGGCCTCACTGCCCCGGCTCCTCTGTGAATTAGACGTGGTTTGAAACGGTGTTCAGGCAGCGCCATGGCAGGGCTTAGCTGTCCCAGGACAGGGCCCGGTAGAGGACGGGTTGCTGCCTGTGGGTTCTCCGCCACAGACCTGAGGGCAGGACCCCTCAGTTTCAGGGAACAACAGTGAAGCCTAGTTAACAAACAGGGGAAGCAACGAGTGTCTGAGGCCGCAAGTGGCCAGCTCTCACCCCAGACGGTGTCCACACTGTCCGGAAGCCCTTAACAAAAGGCTGCTTGTCCAATATGGTGCTGTCCTGCCAATGAGGGCCTGGAGCTCTGGGCTGCCTGGCGCACAGCAGGCCGGGAATCACCTGACTGCGGTGGGAGGTGCTCACAGGGGAGGTCGCTGTGATGCTGATGAGGCATCAGCATCTTGAAGGTCAGGATGGGCAGTGCTGGACTCTGGACTCTGCACCAGGCAGCAATGGAGGCAGCACCGGAGGAGATGCTGGATGATCAGGAGTGGGTAACAGCCTCAGAGGTGACCCGGACACAGTGCCAGTCACCTGTCAGCAGGGCCAGGCAGCACTGGCCAGCCGTGCTGGTCACCACTGCCCACTGGCAACAGACGGGTCTTTGAGACACCAGGCCCAGGGCCCATGGTGCTCCTGTGAGGTGATGTCAGAGGCAGGTCAGAGGCAGCCTGGAGCAGGTGCGGTGGGCCTGCCCTCTTCCACGCTCTTTGGCCTCTCTCCCCCTTTGGCAGTCAGGAACAGAGTCCTTCTGTGAGAGAGCCTGACAGCCTGAGCATCCCAAGCTGGCTCCTGCCCTGTCTTGTCTCCTCTTTCCGGGGCCCCCCACCCACAAGTCTGGTTGGTCCATTTTCAGTCCTGTGGCTGAGTGGACCATTTAGCTATCAGCTCATGGCTCACACCTGCTGGGTGCATTCTATGGCCAGACTCCGCGCCTCTCCACTCCCTGCAGCTGGAGGAGCTGCAGCCCCAGAGCCAGGAGCCCTATGCTCCCCCCCTGCAGCCCTGACCTAGGGGCTGCATCGCCTGGGGTTGCGTGGTGGGAGAACCACTGCTGCCCACTTTCACTACTGGCCTCTGCCTGCAGCCTGAGCCCCAGTGGGGCCGCTGGTGGGTGGTAAAATGCCCACCACCCACTGCCGCTTGTACTGCCCAGTAGCAGCTTTTGGGGCTGGGTGCCAGAGCCCAAAAGGGGTGTCTCTGGTTTCAGTTGGGGGGGAACTGTGGCTGAGGGCAGGGGTGGTGGGGGCACTGCTGACTGGGGCGGAAGGACGCAGGGGTCACGAGCTAGAGGAGTTAGACTAAGATGCTTGTGCCTGTGAGCATGAGGATGCCAAATAGGGCTTAGGGTGAGGTCTAGGGGTCCCATAGCTCTGAAAACGGGCAGCTGTCTTGTGGCAGGAGGGGGCTTAGGCGCAGGGTCGGACTGGGGTCCAACCCGGGAGGCTCAGTGTTGCTGGCCTTTGGTCTTCCCGCCCCCTCTTTGCTCCCTTGCCCTTCCTCCTCACCCTCAGCATGCGGGAGAGGTAGCGGGAACCCACAGAGAGTAGCTCGGCGTGCGTGTGGGCGTTGGGTGTGCGGCTGGGAGGGGTCCTGATGAACAATACTTGAGAGCGCCTGCGGTCCCCTCTGTTGTGAAGTGGGGGTCTCCGCTGTGGCTCCAGCACCTGGAGAGCCCCCTCCCTTATTACGTCACCTGGGCGGGAGGACTCACCTGTCTGGGGCCTCGAGACGGGACTTCTCCACTGAGATCACTCGTACAGCTGCTGGGCACCTTCCCGAGACGTTTGCTTTAACCAACTCTATTTTTCACTACGCCGATTTAAAAAAAGTAAATTTTTATGAAATATTAAATAAAAAAAGTCTCAAAAATGTTTTCTTGCAACTTTTCTGTCTCTAATGTTAGAGACCTTTTCTGCTAAACACCTGACTGCTGACTCTGAATGTGAGGGTTTTCATGTGGGGGGACAGCCCCCCACCGAGGTGCCTGGACAACCTCTGGGTATCCGTCAGGGGTGTGGCCTAGTGCCCTGCTATGTGCCAGACATGCCTCAAGTGACTGTCTTTTCTCTGAGAGTCCATTTAATTCTTTCTCAGAATCTTAGATTATTTCCCTCCAAAACATTTGATAAGCTGATGTTCATCATACTATGAAATGGTAAAGTCAGGAGTCGAGAGAGAGTGTGGGGAGAGGAAGGGCTCATGCGAAACAGAGTTTTCTCAGCGTTCTCAGACTTTGGCCTTTGGCCTGCTCGATCACATGCGGCCTCGGGATGTGGCCTGCACGTGCAGAGAGCAGTCGGGGATGGGGAGGCCTCGAAGTCGCGTTCCCATGCGCACGTGCTGCTGTGAGCTCGGCCTCAACTTGGCCCTGTGCCGGCTTTGTCTATAAGTCACGTCAGAACTAACGGGGCTCCTCCGGGGCATGGGGTGGGGCCACTCGTGGTCACTCACGGGCACGGGGGCCACTGCTGCGGCCAGAGCCGGGGAGCGGGGACTGCCGCTGCCTCATGATGAAGACTTGTTCCTGCTCCCCACACACGGGCTTGGGGACCTGCTCTCTCGTCTGCTGCCATGGACAACGGGCAAGCTTGTAGCTGACGTGCACATGGTGGCAGGGTGGGGTGGCCGCAGGCGAGCAGGAGGCCCGGTAGCCGCCCAGATAGCAGGACAAGCTGGAGACGAGTATGAGACAGGGGGCCGCTTAAAATTGCTCAAAGGGTTTCCCCAGCCCCCGCAGTCCCCGCAGCCCCCACAGCCCTCGCAGCCCGTCCCCCACAGCTTCCGCTCATCTCCCCTTTGCCAGGCTCTTGAGTGCCCGTGCCTGACTTCTCGTGCAGTGAGGCACGGATTCTGGGCTCGCAGAAATCGCTGCTGAGGCTGCGTCTCAGGTCGTGCTGTCCCGACAGCCCATGAGAAGGCCGCGACCCGGGAAGCTGTGTGGGGGCGGGGGCGGGAGGGCTGGCGGGGCAGGGTGGGGAGGCAGGGGAGAAAGATTTGGCCTTGGCCGTTCCACATGGGGCTTTTTTCTCGGGAGAGCGTGTGTTTTCTTATTACTGGGTAAGCGTGCCTGTCTCTTCCTTTCCACCCCCTCACCTGCTCCTGACACCCTTTCCTGCGGGCGGGGGTGAAATCCTGCCTATTGATCCCCCGAGAGTGAACACGGATGCGATGCCCAGACCGGGGAAGTCTGCTCTCGGCTGGTGTAAAATGAGCGTTGTGGATGCCCCAGAACAGGGGGCCGAGGAGGGGGTGCAGGCGGGGGCTGCTGGGCGGAGACCCCCGGCTTGTGGTCTGTCATTTGTAGACTGAAACGTGGCCCTTCTCTCCTCCTGCCCCACCCCAGCATGCCCGCAGAAATCTTGCTGAAGATATTTTCCTACCTGGATGCTGTGGCCCTACTGTGTGCTGGATGTGTGAACAGGCGCTTTTACCATCTGGCCAGTGACAAGTAAGGAGAAAGCCGGACCTCGGTTGCTTTCTGATGGACCTCGTGGAAACCAGTGTGAGACCGTTTCAACCCGTTTTTAACATTTAATGGGGTTAATTTTATGAGTATTTTTTAATTTCAGAAATAGGGTGTCTAATGTCATAGTTTTAAAGATCTGCATTCCTGTGATTAAAAGGACTATGCTCCTGTGAGCTGAAGCCCTTACCTGTCCTTGGCGTAGCAGCGCCCCAGGGAGCGGCTGTCCCTCGACTGGCAGGGGCTTGCTGTGCCTCGGGAGGGGCTGGGGGCCCTGGCCCTGGATTCCAGAGCAGGGGGCCTGTGTGTTAGGGGCGGCCCAGCCAACACCAAAGAGAAAAGCCAAGGGCTTCCTTCTAGGGGACTGGGAAGCCTGCTGTGCATCTGTGGGTGTTTATTCTCTTTGGCGTCACTTATAGTCAAGTAAGTGAGATGTGGTGTTGAACACGGCTCATCAGACATGCCAGGCACAGTGACTACGGAGACATGTGCGTGTGTGTGCATGTGTGTGCGTGTCTAGAGCTTGTAAAAACAGAATCTGCAGCCGTTGCCTGGTGCTGAGGAATGTGCCCAAAGGACACTGGGCTGGAGTGAAGTGATGGTGCCATATGAAGACACCATCGGCTATGAAAGGGCTTGTACGTGTCTGTCCCAGGAGTGTTGGTGAGATGGGCTTGGACTACTGACGTGTGCCTGGTCTTGGGCCTCCGCCCACTCACGTGGCAAAGCCCAGACAGCGCCCCGCAGGAAACAGACACCTCAAGGCGAAGGCTTGCCGTGGGAGGAATCCGTGGGCTGAGAAGCGGCTGCAGGCCCGGGCTAGAAGGCCGTGTCCTGGGGTCTGAGGATGTGTGAGCTTGTGAGGAAGCCGTGCAGTGCCCGCCCAGAGCCCATCCCGCCTCCCGCCTGCCTGCCAAGTGCTCCTTTCCTGCTGGCCCGAGGCTCCTGCCATCTCCCCGCTCCTCTGCTCTTCAGGGCCTCCCTCTCTGCCTCTTGGCCAGCAGCTGCTCCTTCCCTTCCTGGGCTAAATGGAAACCGGGAGACATAAACTGGCAGACAGTGAAGTATGTGAAATTCCTCTCCCGTTAGGAAAGTCATTTTACTCCCTGCCTCCGTTTCCCCGGGAGAAGCACTTCTCTCCCCGATGGAGAGCGGCGCCCGGGCCGCTGACTTCTCGGGCCTCGGGGAGGCGCGGGGTCAGGCTCCTGCCACGCTGGGTGTCTCTTGGTCTGGAAGCAGCGTCGTCTGCGCCCTTCCTTCATGGCACGAGCCGGGGAGCCCGACGAGGGCGTGGGCGCTGGATGAGGCGTAGGGTCCAGCCCTGCCTGCTGCTGCCCCGCCTGACCGGGCAGGCCCGCTCGCCTTAGCCACGGCCTCCCTCCGTGGGCAGCCAGGGCAGCTGCTTCCTGCGTCAGGGACATCAGATGAGTGAAAGCCCAGGTGCCGAGGCACGGTGTTCAGAAATGTTAGCTGCTGTTGGGAGTTTTTGTTTTTCACTTATGTTAGTCACTGTGCTGTTTTTTTCATTCCCCCCTTTGAGCCAGCAGCACACAGCACATGTTCAGCATTGAAAAACTGCAACATAGCAGAAATTACATACGATCCCTGCACATTTTTGCATGTGGTGTGCGTGTACATGTATGTATCGTATCGATGCTATATCTCTGGCATTATACACACGTCCTTTCTGATATTTAAAAAAACCACGGGCAAGCGCTGTAACAAGACAGGAGTCTCCTGTATGCGCTTCTTGCGGGGTTTCTGGCGTAAACCCCCCGTTCATTCACTGGTCTAGGAAGACAGAGGTTTGGGCGGCCCAATGACACGAGGTCGCCTGTTTTAACTTGGCCCTGGGAGCAAGCTTCTCTCGGGGTGTCTTCCCTTGAACTGCAGTTCACCTTCCCACAGGCACTGTGGTAAATGTTTGGTTTGATTTATTCGCGGGACGAGGCCGCTGAAGCCTTCCCGTGTCCCGTGAGCTAGCGCATCACTCTGCTGGCACGTCCAGCGTGGCTCAGAGTGTAACACATTTCCTCTTCACTCCAGTTTTATTTGGGGAAAAATCTACTCGGCCGCTTTTTCACCTAAAAGATCTAATTGGAGAGTGAGTTCGGTGGAGAAGACAGCGGCGCCCATGAGCTTGCTGTCCCTGAAGGACAGAGAGGCCGGGCACTGGAAGAAGGAATACATCGCCAAACAAGTGTCATCTGTGCAGGCAGCTCTCTCGCAGGCGCTCAAGCCCGTCAACCCCTACACAGGCCTGCCCGGGAAGACCAAGGAGGCGCTCAGGTACGCGGGCGTGGCCCGGGCGCAGCCGCCGCCTGCGTGTGCTGACAAGCAGTTAGAGGCTTTGACGACACCGGTCTGAGCTCGGGCACTGTGAGGCTGGACGCCTGGGCAGTGTGGGGGTAGCCACGGCCTGAGGAACCTAAGTTTCCACCTAACCAGACTGGCTGTTGGTCTTTTGTGTTTTCTGCGTCTGCTCATTGGCGAGATACACTGTCCCGTTCATCGTCCCTATAGACACACGTGTGCACACGTGTGCGTGCTCCGGGCTCCTGGGAGCGCACAATACCGCCTGTGCCGCCATGGGTCATCGCCCGCCTGGGCGGGGCCTTTGTCCCTCTCCCTGGGGGCTGCTTCAGCTCCCAGCAGTGTGCGTGCAGGTGAGGACGAGTCCCAGGAGGGAGCTGCTGCTGAAGTGGACGTTTGCGGCGTGTTCCTAGAAGTTCGGCTCCTGGGGAGCTGTAGAGATGGCGCGTGTAAGAGTCTGCAGCAGTTTGTTCTGCAGTGATGCAAACATTGCTATTTTCAGCCTACTTTCCTTCCTCCAGAATATCTGGCTTGGGTTGGGTACTAGTACTGAAAGAGAAAAGCGGGAGAGAGCACATCCTGGAGCACGTCGACCTGTCCATCGACGACGCGTCCGTCACCATCGTGTGGTACGGCAAAAACTGGCCGCAGCTGGCCACGCTGTCAACCGTGGATCTGTGTGGCGTGACGCCGGTTTTCATGGACCGCTCGAAACCGCCCCCCAAAACCGGGTGAGTACGGACTAGCGGAATGTTAGGCGGGAACTTCTTCGCGTCAGTCCCGGCTGGCTTTGCTTTTGTAGTTTAGACACCATCGGATGACTTCAGTGCGGCGGCGTGTGGCATTCTCATCTTGGATGCCACAGGGTAGGAAGAGGGCGCGTGTTACCTTTCTGGCCAGGTTTAAGTTTAGGTTCCTCAGACCTTGCTCCTCTATCGCCCTTAGGGAACGATATTCTCGTTAGTGAGACTTCTGGGCTGCCGATGGCTAACCTTCTGAGGCCTTTAGTTTTAACCATTGTTGCACAAGGACACGTAACGCTCTTGCATTTTCCCTTTTGGTGACCGGTCCAGCAGTCGCAGCTCCCCCAGCGGGTCAGGGCTCCCTCCGGCCAACCCCTGGGATGTCTCCTCTGGGGGCCTGGCGCGAGGTCCCGCTGCCCGTGCCCCTGTGCAGTGGTCACGCTGGGAGGACGCTCTGCTCATCAGAGGCGCACATCAGATGCCCGCTTCTCCCACCGCTGCTGCCCGTGCGCCCTCGTGGCCTGTCAGGGGTGGCTTTGCGTTCAGTTAGTGACCCCTGAGAGTGCAGCTCCTTGTGCCGTCTCACGCTGAGGCGCGCATCTGGCTAAAAGCACGCGCTCGCTTCTCAGCATCACTCGTTTTCTCCTGGGAGCTGAACAGTGGCCTGAGTGACATCCTGCCCGCCCGAGGACTTTACATCCACGTGACGGCAAAGGCAGCGGGGGCAGCTGCCGTCCTGTCCCCTGTGTCACCCCGGCCCTGCCCCCTTCCGCCCCCCATGCCAGCCCCTCGTGCTGCAGCTCCTGGGCTGCTCTGCTGCCCCCTGGCCACCCGCTCTGTAGAGGTGGCGGGGGAACGTCGGCCTCGGTTCTGTGTTGGCAGCCTGGGGGCTGCACAGGGGGGCCTTAGCGAGTCCTGGGCATCTGTCCAGTCTGCGCATCAGTGTTCTCCAGCCTGGCGTGTGGGGGCACAGGGCTCTGGCAGTCAGGACTTTACACCCCTGCTGGTCTCTGTCCACCGTGACAAGGTCACCACAGTGTTAGGGGGCACCTGGAGGCGCCTTGTGCTAGGAGACGCCTCCTCATTCCCCTCAGAGTGGGGTGGTCTCCCCACACATTTGAAGGCCCCCTGGACGGCGTGTGGGGTTGGGGCTGAGGTTTCCCTGCCTTCCCATTCGGGCTCCTCAGCCGCCTTGGACTTGCTCCTGCCTGTGCCCCCATGCTGGCATGCTGAGGCCATCACACTGCTGCTCCCCTCCTTAGCCAGCTTTCCAGCACGAGAGGCCCTCAGATAATGCAGCGAGGGTGGCAGGGGAGCTGAGGCCCCGGTGAGCCCCTTGCAGCCACTGTTCTGCAGCAGACTTCGCTGAACAACTCTGATTTCTGAGCCCCTGAGCGCTGTGGCCCTGTCCTTGGCACTTGCTGCTCGGGCTGAGCGTCCAGACTGCCCCTGAGCGTTCCCGGTTCCGGGGCGACACCAGTGCTCCCTCCCAGGGCACGGCAGCTGGGCCCGCCGGGCGAGCGGGTGTGCGGCCCTCACGGCCTGTGAGTCCTGGGCGTCGTGGGCTCGCTCCGGGTTCCAGCGTTAGGGGCAGCAGTCTTCGTACACATTTGAGTTATTTACACTTCGACGTCAGCGTGTCTCCCTCGTGAACATGCTCTTGCTTTTGGTTCACGTCAGTTTTCCCATGTTAGTCTCACGGTGTCTGAGTCTCCTGTGCCGGCGTGAGCCGCCTCAGACGGCCTCCTGAGGCCCTGCTCCTTTGGCCTTGGGCGTGACTCGTCTTTGCTTGAGCGCTGTTTCACTCAGCGCTGCAGCCGAGAGCCGACGGTGCCTGCTGGGCTGTGATGGGGGGACGTGGGGAGAAGGTCCTTCCCCTTCTCGCCTCCCTGGCCCCTGAGCGGACAGGAGCATAGTTGAGGGTGGGTGAGAAGCTGGAATGTGTCCACTTTTTATTCCTGAGTTGTTTGGGCCCCCCACCCCAGCTAGAGTGCAGAAGTCGGGGCTCCCCGTGGATGAAGAAGCTCATACTGCTCCCCTTTCCTTGCACGGGCGCCCAGCCCGCGGTGGCGCTCCCTGATCGCCAAGTACGACCTGAGCTGCCTCAAGGCCGCCGCCACGCTGGGCTGTGACAGGCTCGTCCGGATCTTCTGCCTGAAGCCCGGGCTCCTGGTGGGGCTGTGGAAGGTAAGACCCGCTGCTGTCGTGCCGTGTCAGCCCCGCGCTCGCGCTGCACAGGCACATCACAGAGGCACGTCCTCCACCCGCGCCCTCTCCGGTGCTGCTGCCCTTCTCAAGTTCAGGGATCTGGACCCCGCTCTGCTCCTCGGCTGTCCCGGGGGGGGGGCAGTCTCCTCCCCTGCCCGGGGCGTCTGTCCCCGTGGGTCCTCACCTGGCATGGGACACCCCCTTCCTCCCCTGACCTGCCCGTGCTCAGCCTCTTTCTTCTCGCGTCTCTGCACGGCCCTTGAGGGAGGCTCTCGCCTGCCCTGCGGCAACCTGGAGCCGGCCATGAGCGTTTTCTCTGCCGTCGCCGCTGCTGCCCGGCTGTGGTGTTTGCATGTGCCCGGCACTGGGCCTTAGGGGCTGCACGCTCTGCCTCTTGGCGGCCCTGCCGGCCCTTCAGGGTGGTGAGGATGGTGGTAGTGACCCGCAGCAGCGCCGCAGGCCTCGGGGCGGGGAGCAGCCCTTCGCACTGTGACATGAATAGGCTGTGGCTTCACAGCGACTTTGTGAGAAGTGATAGGATTTCTTCTAATGAACTTTCCAGAGCGAGGAGGAACTGGCTTTTGTTATGGCGAATCTTCACGTCCATCACCTTGTGGAGAGGAGCACGCTGGGCTCGGCCACCGTGTATGTATTTGGGTGAGCTACGTTTTGGCAGCCGGCATAGAAGGTTAGAAGCGACACCATCTTAGTGTCCTGAGAACAGCTACGCGGATAGTCTGTTTTGAATCAGCAGGTGCATGCCGAAGACATCATTACTTAGCTGTCGCTAAAATAACTGGATCATTCATGAGCCCATATTTGCTCTATTTGCCCCGGGTGAGGGTATGTGCCTGGCAGAATAGCACTAGCTGAGGCCTGATGGCGTCATCACTCTGGGTGCTCAAGTCCTGGCGCGATGTCCACACGTCTCGCGAGGCCCAGGCCCGGCAGGTGGCTCAGTCTGGCCTCGATGTGTTTTGCTTGGTCTACACTGTGAGGGTCTTGGAATGAATTTGAAGGTGACCTGTGGGGCCCCCTCTCCTGGGCTGAGGCTCTCTCTTGCTCCTTCCCTCCACCCATTTAATCAGGCCTCCTGGATGCTTTTTTGGGGGTTACTTTATGTAGTAAGTTTTTTCTTATGGAGAAAAAATGGTCTCTAAGCTGGAGACCATTGCTGGGTGCATTTCCCTGCTGACACTCTGTCCTCTGGGGACTGAGACCACTCTCCTGGGCCGCGCTCACACCTGCTGGTGGCCGCAAGGCCGTGGCATCTCTGGGACTGGGCCTGCCTGTTTTTGTAGAAGCTGGGGGGCGACGGCACAGCAGCCCCCTCGCTCGCACATGCTGAGGCTTGCGGGAGCCCGTGGCGACCGGTGGAGCTGGTGCTTTCGGTGCAGGTTGATTTTTCTTTAGAGTATTTTCAATTCAAGCATTTTAACTCTAGTGTTGACAGCTTTGTGTGTATGTTTTTGCTGTTTAGCCCTTACGAGCTGCTTCCTCACACCCCCTTTCTGGATGACAGCCCGGAGTGCGGCCTGCACGGCTACCAGCTCCACGTGGACATGCACAGCGGCGGCGTTTTCTACCTGTGCGGGACGTTTCGCAATCTCTCCACCAAGAAAGGTGACCTGAGCGCCGCGTCAGCATGAAATCAAGGCTGGAGAGGACGGGGGCCGGTTTTCATGCCGGCTCCTGTATCATCCAGGGCTCCCTCTTTCCAGATGCCTGCATCTCAGGAGGACCCGGGGGGCACCTTGGCCCCATTTGCCCCTTTCTGCCCAGCGTCCTCTGTCATTGCCATCATGCCTTATCTGCCTTCTGGAATATTCTACTCGTCTTGTCTATCTGTACAGTCCTTGCTGTTTTGCCCTGCCTGTCTCCCCCCTACCCCCCCTCAGCATCTTCCCTTCGGTCTCAGAGGAATTTGGTAAATTTGCTCACCAGGCCCGGCCAGGATAAGAATGAAGAGACGCCCTCTTCCTGAGTGTTCCTCGGCGTGCTTGTCACCTGAGCAAGCTGAGACTGGACGCAGAGAGAGGGAGGAGGGGGGCTCTCCCCACCCTCCCGCCCCCCATGAGGGAGAGAAGGGCTGGCGAGTGTCGGGTGGTCTCCTCTTGGTTCCCTTGCTCTGTGTCCGTGAACTTGAAGTTTGGTGTAAAGACTTGTGTGGATTCAAGTTTTACATTTTCGATAAGACTATTTTGATATTTTACTTCATTTCTGAATATCCTGTCCTCCAAAACTCTTCTTGTGAAGGATTAGACATCTGTTGGTAATTTTTGTCATGTCAGTTTTCTTTTAGTTTATTAAATGGTGATTTCCTCGGTATGTCATTATGTCTCTATTTATTAGCTGAACTTTTCTGTGCATACTGGCTGCGCTTCAGCTGCGTGGACTCCTGTAACAGCAGGGGACGAGTGTCATCCTTTCCCCTGAGCTGCTGGTTCTCAGGATAAGTGACTGGTGTAACGGTCGCCTCCGATGGAAGAAAGGATTTTGATCTCTCGCTCACTCTCTACTCCCCCTTAATTTCCTGTGGAAGGTCGGTTTGGACTCTTTTATTTTTATTGACTTAATTTATAATAAACTAGGGTCTTGATTCTTTTTGAAGCTAAACGTCCCCCAGGTTGGTCAGTGGGGCCTGCGCAGGCCAGCTCCTGTGCCCCCTGGATGCGCCCCCTTTGTCTCTAGATGTACCCCCGTAGTCTCTGTCTCTGTGTATTTTGGCTCAGGGAGACTTGCAGGTTTTTCTGTGCTTGTTGGCACCTTTATTATAATTATATGAAATACATATATTAACCTGGGTGAATTGACATTTTTCATTCTTGAATTTTTCTGCCCCGAAATGTGGATTCTCTTTCAATGTGTTGAAAAATACTTGTTTGTGTTTTAGGAGTGGTAAAGGATTTTCTTCACATTAGTTTCCCATGTTTCTTACAATTTGTAGTAAGTATTTCACCTTTATCACCTGTGTTCTACTCTGTCTTCTAGATGTTTTGCCATACCTATGTGAGGCTTTGCTCTCGGCCACTGCTCATCCGATGGAACGAGTGGGGAAGCAGTCTTTCCTCTGGAGATTTTGGGGGACTTTGTATAGACTTGGTAGTGTTTCTTGAATGGTTGGAGAATTTACCTGAGAGATCATCAAGGCCTGGAACTTTCTTTGTGGGATAGTTTTTAACTACAGTTATAATAGGGCTGTTCAGGTTATCTATTTCTTCTTGAATGAGCTTTGGTAGTTTATGTCTTTCAAGAAATTTGTCCTTTTGATCTAAGTTGCTAAATTACTTGGTGTAATGTTGTTCGTAATATTGTCTTTTTAGTGTCTGTTGGCTCTGCCATGCTGCTCGCTAATTCTGATTGGTAATTTGTATCTTCTTTCTTTTCTTCCTAATCAGTGTGGCTAGAGCTTCACCAGTAGTACTGATCTCAAGGAACCAACGTCTACTTTTACTGGTTTTCTCTTTGTATTTCACTGATTTACTTTTTCATAGTTTCTGTCTTGTTTCTGCTTAGCTTGCAACTTGCTCTGTTTCTGAAGGGGAAACTGAGGTCATTGATTTGAGAACTTTTTTTTGTTAATATAGAGATATTTAGTGGGGGGAACTTCTCCCTAAGTACTGTATTAGTGGCATCCCTCAATTTTTTTTTTTTTTTAATGTAGGGGTAGAGAGGAAATACCCTCTAGATTTATTTTTATTTATTTATTTATGCAAGCACTGGGTACAGTCAGAAGCGCAGGAGGGTGAGAGAATTCACCAGAGCCAGAGCGGGGAGCAGAGCAGGCAGAAGGACCGAAGTACACTGCTGAGGGGAACAGTGGGCGGCAGGAGAGGTCTGCACGCCCTGTGGGACCCTCCTCCGGTGGCCGGGGAGCAGCCGGGGATCGAACCAGCGCCGCAGAGTCCGCAGGCAGCTTCTCAACCCAGCGCTCAACCGCTGCACCACCGGGGATGCCCGGAATCCCTCAATTTCTAATATGTTTTGTTTTCATTTGCATTCACTTTAAAACAGTTTTCCCCCTTTGATTTCTTCTTTCTACATTGGATAAAATGTGTTTTTTAGTTTCCAAGTATTTGAGATTTTTCTGTTAATGATTTCTTACTAAATTCCACTGTCACCAGAGAGTATGCTTTACTTGACTTGAATTCTTTTAGCTGCATGGGGACTTGTCTTATGTCTCAGATGGTGCCTACCTGGCTTACATTCCCTGCCTACTTCAAAATCACGTCCCTTCTGGGGCCTCCCTGGTGGTGCAGGTGGTTGAGCACTACACTGTGAAGCTGTCTGCAGCCTCTGCAGCACGGGTTTGATCCTGGCGGGCTAAAGAGGGTCCCACATGGCGCGGCAGACCTCTCCTGTCTCACCCGCTGCTCCCCTCAGCAGTGTATTTCATCAGTCTGCCTGTTCTGTTCCCCGCTCTGTCTCTGGTGAATCCTCTCACCCTCCCGCACATTGGGCCAGTACCCCAGTTCTTATATGAATAAAAATCTTTAAAAAAAACCAAAAACCAAAACAAAACAAATCCACGTCCTTTCTGTCATTAGGTGAGTCCCTGGAGATAAGGTGCGGGCAATAAGAATGTTGATGTCTACTGTGCCTGGCTGATTTTCTACCTACTTGCTTTTTTTTTTTTTTAAAGAGATTTATTTATTTATTTTTTTATACAAGAGCTGGGGTACAGGCCAGAGGCACCATAGGGTGAGAGGATTCACCAGAGACAGAGTGGGGAGCAGAACAGGCAGACAGACTGAAGTACACTGCTGAGGGGAGCAGCGGGTGAGACAGGAGAGGTCTGCTTCGCCATGTGGGACAGCCGGCCGGGATTGAACCGGTGCTGCAGAGGCTGTGGACAGCTTCACAGCGCTGTGCTCAACCCGCTGTGCCATTGGGGAGGCCCTTCTGCCTACTCGTTTTATCAATTATAGAGAGAGGATATTGAGATTTCTATAACTGTAGATTTATATATTTTTCTTTGCTGTTCTATCAGAGTTTGCTGCATGTGTGCTGCACGTGTGACAGCTTTCCGTGACTTGCTGGCACTGTCGTTTGTGAGACGACCTTCTTTATTCCTGATAATGTTGTTTGTTTTGAAACATAACCCATCTGATGTAAACATACACACTCCAGCTTCTTTTGACTGCTGTCAGCACAGTCTAACTTTTTCCATCCTTTTCCTTTAAACCTGTTGGTGTCTTTGCAGTTGGTTAATATGTGTCTTCGGTCCCTCAGGTCTGTGACAGACAGTTCATTCCTTTTCTCATGCTGTGTGTTGATTGAAGAAACTGAACCTGCTCTTTGTCTGTACAAACCTTTGCATTTTGAGTGACTGCTTCTGGCATTGACATGTCTCTCTGCCCTGGGGGTCATATCTAGAGGCTTGGTCAGGCTTAGGTTTGGCATTTTTGGGCAAGAATACCTTGGAAGGGGTGCACTGTTGTCCCTGCTGTTTCTATCAGAAGAACAGAATGCTGCTAAATATAATTTGTGTTAAGATTGGTCAGTGGGTTTAGGGATTTTTCAGCCTGTTCCTTCGATTACATGTAAAATTTCTCTATGACTGTCTACCAGTGGTTAACCAGTTGCTGGGTGCCTGCCCGCGTTCATTATTTCATCATTCAAGCCAAGACGGTGGGCCCCGAGTTCTGTCACTCCTCCTGTAGCTGCTAACAAGGCTTCTCCTGTAAAGTTTTCTCATCAACTCTTTAGTTCCCTGAAATAGAGTTTGTGCAGGAGCACAAGACACTTGCTTGATTCTTTCTCTTTATTAATGTGCAGATTAGTGAATCAACGCTCCTACAGTCTCTAACGATGACTTGCAAGTTTTGGGGGCTGTTAAAATGGAGCACTTGGACTTAAATGTCCGTTGAAGCTAGTGCGTCCTCCCTTTCACTGTCACCCCGATGCTTGGATTGTGTTGCTGTGGCCGTGGGCTCCTGGTGCTTTGACGCGACTCTGGCTGTCCTTGGTAGCTCTTGTCTTCCAGCAGGACAGGACGCCTGGCACTCACCTTGTCTGACGCCTGCCCAGGCCTGGAGTCGGCTGTTTCCCCACGTGTTACGGTTCTGTCCGCTCCCCGGCGCTGCGGTGTTGAAAGGCCCCGTCTGCCCCGCGGACGTGCACGTGACTCTTGGGTTCTCATGCTCTTCGTGGTTTTTCTGTGGGCTGAGCTAAGACATTTGTGACAGTGTGATAGGACTTTATAATGTGAAGAAATAAGTTATTTAAATGAAGGGTCTTAGGGTCTTTAACAGAACAGGCAGATCCACTGAAATCCACTGCTGAGGGGAGCAGCGGGGACACAGGAGAGGTCTGCTGTGCCATGTGGGTCACCTTCCTGGCTGGGGATCGAACTTGTGCTGCAGTGGCTGTGAATAGCTTCATAGTGCTGCGTCTTAATTCCTTGCACCACCAGGGAGCCCCCAATTCACTTCTTTGATGATATATTTATGTGTAATATAGTTGTATCTTAACATATTTATAAGTATGTTTTTATATATAACATACTTAATGTCTCCTTATGCTGAAAGTCTGTTTTGAAAACATCATCTTACGCAATAATTTTAAAATAGCAATAGCCATACTATCAGGCTAATGCGCCTATCAGAATGCACTCTTTATTA